GAGATGATATAGGAAGAGCTATTCCAATTCCTATAACAAATGTGGTTAACCCATTAACCAAAGTAACACTAGGAAGATTTTTGTATGAAATGAAGGAGGAGAAAATATCTTTATTACCTATCATATGATCCGTAACACCTTAATCAATGACCCATTTGGAAGAGGATGACACAAGACAGGTAGTAGGTTTACCTGTCTCATCACCGATAGCTGGAGTTGGATTGGAAGACTTTAGCAAGGATTGATATCGAGCAAACCGAGCAAAGTCATCAGCAAACATCATTATAAATTTTTTAAATGAGGAAGAGGCGGGACTAGCCTATTGGGCCGCAAGGTTTACGATATGAATCGTAACAACATCGGAGATCATAGTTTTCTACTCTGTTCCATCAATGATTAAAAAAAAAGGAAGAAAATAGGGTAGTAAGGTCGCAGCGGCTCACCGGGGTAGCAGACGAAAAAAGAAAAAAATGATAGCTCACTAGTGGCAACGACAAGCAGCTTACTCAATTAGGGCGATATGCTCGATACCATATAGAAATATGAGAATAGGATAATATATTTCACACCTTGAAATGCATGAGTATAGCATGTATATTACAAGTCTAGGATCAATCTAAATCCCTAGAATCAAGTCGTCATTAACTTCCTAAAAATTAGCTCCTCAATCAGTCCTATAATTGACTTACTATATTTATTGACTTACTATATTTACAACAACAAACACAATGAAGTTCATAGGCTATTGAAACAAAAGCGTTAATGTGACCATAACTATATGATAAATTTATATACCTGTATTTGTAGTTACATACCTACATTTTTAATCTCGTAATGTCAATATTCATTTTAGTAATGATTTCTTTGGTTGTATTATGTGTAAGATCATTGATATGCAAAATTAGAAGCATATATATTAATGATTTGATAATTCAATCGATGGCTATAAAAGGGATATATATATACAAATTTGTATTGCAAAAGATACATGCCACAACAATGCAGGAGTTGTGGAACAACTTCAAAATTTTTTGTTTTATTTTTGTATAAATTTATTACATTTTTTTATTTAAAAATTATGATAATAATATTTTTTCATGATCTTCATATTTATTTAGTTAGAAATTATACTGTTTAAACCTTTATTCCTTTTTTTTATAAGTATATAGATAATTGCTTCTCTACCCCTTTTCTTCCTCCTCTCCTCCCTAAATCTCTACATGTACAGCATCAATATGCAAGAACCTTTAAATCATTACCAAGTTAAGAATTAAACCATTTTCTCTTCTAATACAATTCTTTTAGTTTTCTCCCATTTCATCCGTTCTACTTCTCCATCCTTTCTTCCCTCCTCTCGTCCCTAAATCCCTATCTTTGTATTGTATGAATGTGCAAGAAACCTCTCATTTCTAACCTAATCATCTTTTTCTCTCCCTTTCAACTACTTCATTCCCTTATAGAGAATGTTTTTATATATTTAAGTGAAAATTTTCATTTATCAAAAGAGAAAAAAAAGGCACTTATCCTAAAGAGCTTTACTTTTTGGCTAGGAACATACTAAGCATAGCTAATAAAATTGTTTTACCACTAGATTTATGCTTTGTATTGACTTTCCAAAATCACCCTTCTAAATTAGAAGTTTTTAAAGATAGAGATTTGTATTTGATTCTCAATAAGAGGTAACATAGAAGAGTAAAGAAATAATGCTTTGCCTTTCTAATAATAGAATCTATATTTGGGAGCAAATAAGAGAAAAGAAAAACAAGACACTCTATTATTATGGAAGCAATAAAAATAAAAATAAAAATAAGCTTAAGTAAATATGTTACAATGCCTTCCATGTTCCAAAGAAAAGGAATAAAAATGAAAAACAAGCCCTTCTATAAGCATCATCTCGGTTATCTATATATCTTGAATCCTATGGAACATCATGTAAGGACAAATCTCCACTCAACCACATTTCAATTCAAGCACTCGCAGCTTGAATACATATGATACATTATGAAACAACCAATATCCAGCAGGTATATAAGAACTCAACTCACTAAATAAGCAAACAAATTCTTTTGAGAAGGAAAAAAAGAACATAGGAAGAAGTAAACATAACTCACATAACAAAAGGTGTTCACCTTTGTTACGGTCCAAGAATCTTTCTCGCTCTCTCATTGTCTAATTTTTTTCATTTAGGCTTTCCTATGGAACATATCACAAAGTTATTCAACTACATAGACAAAATTTCTAAAAACATATCAAGCACTATTCCTTATGAGCACATAGGAAAAGCCCAAACATGAAATGCATAATGTCAATCAACAAAACACTTCTTATTATGATTTCATTCAAAAAAGTTTTGTGGCATGAAATATACCATTTTTAAACCCATAACGATTTCTCATCCTCTAAGTGATTAGGTTTCTCCTCAAATCTAGGTTGCATTTGATATGATTATACATTAACCGTTCATCTTATAAGCTGCATGCATGTAGCATTAAAATGCCATGGTTTGATGCTTATAATAAAAACATATAACTGGAAATCTTGTGAGAAGCTAAGCATAGTCAAGTTGCATGTTTAAACACCGAATTTGGATACTCGGTTTTAAGGCTTATCATGTTAAAGAGAAATTCCCTCGAATGTGTTAAATATTGCAAAATAGAAAGATTTATTTATAATCCTATGTAAGACAAAAATTACCCTCTTTTGAAGCCATAAATCCTTTTTCACTCTGCAATTGTATAATTTTCATCTCTAAATCAGCTTGCAAATCATCCATTTTTAGAGGCGTACAATAAAAGTGCATAAAGCATAAAATACAAATTCAACAGTTTGTACCTCTTTCTATGTGTGTGAAGCATTTTTTTTCTCTAACTATTTTCTTGTCTCTTATAAGGTAGCTCGTAAAATGCAATAAGTTCCTTCATGTTTTGCATAGATTTCAAAACAAAGAACCAATTTAATATTACAACACGAAAAGGGTGAAGTAATTTAGAAAATTTTTGTCACGCACATTCCCACAATTAAATTAAATTTGTATTACCTCTTTTCGCATGTGTGAATCACTTTTTTCTTATAGTAGTTTGATTGTCTCTTTAAAGGAAGCAAGTTAAATGTAGTAATTTATTTCTTACATGAATGACAAATAAATGCGAGTAAGTTTCGTCATGTTTTGCATAAATGTCAAAATAAAGAAATTCAACTTATAAAGTTAAAAATTAATGAAATATCTCTCAATGGACAAAAAAATAAAAATAAAAACACAAACAAAGGAGAATAAACCACCTTTAGTAAAGAACTTTGACAAATACGTATCCCTACAAAAACGAACCCATAATTTATCAATTAGTAACCTATTGTGATAGACCCCAAAAAACGAACTATGAAAACAGAATAATAGAACATTGCTAGACAGAGAGAATAGATGACCCAAAAGGGAACAATAATGGAAATAGAAACAAAGCCAATCGGATATCATTTAAAAATTTAAAAAAAAAAACACCTAAAAGAGCTTATCCGACAAGAAAAATCATGAAGTGCTCGTAGACCTTGCTCAAAAAAGTCCATATGGAATAATCTAACCAAACTCTCACAAAAATTTAGGCAAACAACCAAAAGACTAATAACCAAATTATCTTAAATTACATGAATGTCACTACAAATGATTAGATTATAATTTCGAACAAATTCATGATCATCATAATTAATTTCACTTTAAAAAAAAACCCGGATCATATAAATGAAAAAAAATCTAAAACTCAAAGCCAAACAAAAAGGAAAAAAGACATACGGAAAATCACAACACCGATGCCTGCAAGGCGAAGGCCAAGGACTTTTAATTGGTTTTCATCTACTATTCACGTCTTTTTCTATCTCGCCCATGCTCTTATCTTTTTCTTTTTTCTTTTTGCCATTTTGATCTAACTCTTATAGCTAACTCTCACTTGTGGTCGTGGAAGAAGCGAGAATTGGAAGATGGAGGAAGAAATGATGAGAGAGAAAAGGTTTTCCTTATGCATGATGAATGGAGGGTTAGGATTTCTAGGTTAAATATAAAGGGTTGAGATGAGTACAAGGCACAAGCGTATTTCCATAAAAAACCAAACCAAGACCATTAATTGAAAAAAAACCTATATTATAGTAAAATTTACTATGCATATGTGTCGCACATCGCAAAAAAACGATCCAAATTCATAGAAAATGAGACAATAAATGCAACCGAAAGGAAGAAGAAATGAGAAATAAAATTTTAAAATATATCTAAAAGAAGAAGCAAACAATCGTGCAGCTCGAACCAGCTTGGGCCATGAAGACACTCAACCGAACAGACCAGCATTTATGAAAAGAAGGCTAAATAATGCATGTGAGTCATAGTCCACAATGTTTTGAGCATGTGTGATCAAGAGATAAAAAGTAACTACCCATATGTTTTAGTTTTTTTTGTAATACCAAGAAAATAATTGAGAAAGAAAGTAGAGTAAATAGAACATGAGAGGTATTTTATGACTACTAAATTTAAAGGTTCCAAAAGCCAACCCAGCAATTATCTAAAAATATAAATTTGAAAGAAAGGAGAACGAAATCATTTTAACTCCAACATTTTTTAAAATTGCTCAAATGATATTTTAGAACAAAGGTTGCTCCTTTCACCCCACTCATTATAATTTTTCACAAATCAAAATAATTCACTAATGAGCTCATTAAATTTTAGACGTTCCGTGTGCCAACAGCGTGACATGCAGAGAGAACAGATTTGTATTATGTATAATGCATAAGAAATGTTTGCAAGTACAGATATTGATGAGACGCCAGCCAATTCAAAAATATTAGGGAGGCAAGATATTGGTACACAGACAAATAATCGGGTCCATAAGATCCATTACTACACATTTGGCAATAATCGATCAGAGATCATCAGATTATGTACTGCTATAGGTATACAAACTAGAGTGATGGTGGTGGAAGTATAAACTTTTCCTTGCCATTGGATATGGGTTGAACCTTCCTTAATAATATGTATACGCAACTCTTACAACATCTGACATTGAAGTTGGTTGTACATCGCCTCCAAAATCTAATCCGGCTCGAAAAATATTGGCCCCTGAGAATTGCCTTACAAAACGAGTAAAACGAACCCAGTTACGTTGTTCAAAGAGGTGTCTGTCCATCCTCATAAAGTTGAAAGAAAAGGAGGGGCTTTCAAGACCATATGAGTAGAATCTTGACATCTTTAGCACCTGTTCAAAGGATTCATCGTCCAAAAAAGTGGCAGAAATTTCACCTTCCATTGGTATGTGACAGACCCTAGCTGCCAATAAAAGCTGTTTAAGAAAACCTTCTGGACTGCTGGCTGGGTTTGTCTGTTTCTCTTCAACATCTCTCATTCCAAAGCCTGAGCAGCATAAACCAAAACCATACCTACCAAACATGCGAGCAATCGGCAAGTACCCATCTCTTCTTGAAGTATTGTAGTAGCCAGCTGTCAACTCAGATGGATGAGATTGTGTCCCATAATGCCAGTGGATTCTGGCCACTTTGGCTGCAGTATCAACTTCAGTACCCTGAAAGATGGTCTTGGCTTCCCTACATATCCTTTCCCCGTGAAGCAGCAGCATCCCAGAGTACCATTGAAGAAAAAATTTCCCATATGGAGTATTCCATGATCCACCATTACTTTTAAAAAAGTCAGTGCTCTCAGGGTCATGCATCAAATTACCAGCATCCATGGGGCCTCGATATCCCCATTCACACATTCCAACATCATGAGCACAGGCATTCAGAGATGCAACCATATACTGCAAACAGACAAATCAATGCAGACGGTGATACTAAAATATCGCAATCAGGAATAGTAAAATGGTAGGAGCAACATATCACAGAGAATGCATAACAAGCTTGTATATAATTCTCACTTATTGGTCTACCTTATCATAGCACTGAAACTCTCCAAGTTCACGTGTACGCCAAGCCTGCGCTAGCTTCTGAGAAGGGCATGAAGGATACCTTAATTCACCTGCAGGACCCATGCCAACTTGGACTCCCTATAAAATGATCTATCAGGAAAACTTACTTACCACATCAAAAAATCAGTTGTCAATGATTGAAGAATGATTTACTTTCCAAAAGATAGTACTTTCTCACCGTAATGACAACACCAAGTAAAGGTCTAAAAGTATCTCTGAAGTTTATCATAAAATCTGAATATGTTTGGAGCGGAGATCGTCCCTTCAGCACAGGAAACATATCACATCCAAGAGAAATATATTCCATGTTTCTTCTTCCAAATCGGTCAGAATATGCTATATCTGGATCTTTATCAATCTCTTCAAGCACCCATTGAGGAAGAGGAATCCTTCAACACATAAAACAAGTTCTTTAGAGCCACTAGAATATAAACAAGCAAGCAGGAAAGCCAAGAATATCAAATCAAATTTGACAAGAAATTTTCTTTCAGACCAAACTCTCACCCTGACACATGTTTAAGAACCTAGAATTTTGAAACATGTATATAAGACAACAAGATATGCAAAATATGACTCACTAACTAGGAATACTAATAGAAGCCCCATAAAAAAAGGAAGAAAGCCCTTACAATATCCACTTAAATGAGCCAAAAGGTTGCCCTCACAAACCAGACCACAAAACCTAATAGTTTAGATGCTAGGTATGTTGAGAGGCAATGAATCCTTCAAAAATGCCATAGAATCAAAGCAAAAGGCAACATGACCTATGTTATATGACTCCTGGTCACTCAAGACAGGTTATACAGCATGGGTAAAAAAAAAGCCTTAATAATGGATTGTCTATGCCAAGGATCAACAGGGTTAGATGGTTCAGACCACCGATGTTGTAAAACTTATCATACTATTCAAAGACAAACCATTTTGTATCATCAGTAGTCATCAAATGTGTAATAGATGCTACATTGTGTTTGATTTGCTGACCTTGATCACAGTGCATACATGACAAATTTACTTTTACTTTTCCTGAGGATGTCTACCAAATATAGCTAGAGGCTGTTTTGACTTTATTTGGATTGATATTCAATCAAAATAAAGATCCTAGACAACGCACTGTTCTATCCATTCAGTATATACACAGAACCTAAAACTCTATGGATAGAACCTTAGGAGTGAATATATTTGCCTGCGAGGAATTATTACATGGACCTGGTCCACCACCTAAAGTTCATAGACCAAACCAATAGAATTTTTACACATCACTAGATTTGTCCACATCACCTCTTTAGTAAATCACATTTAGAATGTGAGTCTTTTCACATTTAATAGCACATTTAAATTTATCTATATCACCTATTTAGTAAATCACATTTAGAATGTAAATCTTTTCACATTTAATTGCACATTCATAATTATGGAATGAAATAGTTAATAATGCCATCACAAAATGATGTGGACAAATTTAGTGATGAATAAAAATTCTATTGGTTTGGTCCATAATCTTAGGTGGCCAAGTCCATGTAATAGTTTCTCCTTGCATAGGACCAACTTAAGTTTCTCCTTGCATAGACATTGAAGGCCTCAACTTAAGACTTCCAATCACCTACGATGCCAACAGGGAAGATGACAAAAATTGCAGCCAAAACTTCTCTTCAAAAGGTGTAACAAATGAAGAAATCGTCAACTGAATTCTCAAGGGAAAAATTACTCAAATATACGTGATTAGGCTCTACTTTTTTGCTCTTAATCATTCTTCTACACCTTTGCTAGATTTGACTTAGGAGCTCCAATAACATAGGCATGTCAAAAGGGAAAAGGGATGAAAATGCAGCCGGAGGCTTCCTCCAACGTATTTGACAACTGAAGAAATCTTCAACCAAGTTCTCAGAGGAAAATTTACTCAATTACCTGATTCATCACACCTTAGGCTCTACATTATTTCCCTTAATCATTTTTCCACACCTTTGCAAGATTCAAAAGCCCATATTATAGAGGAATTCCACTGACTTAGGACAAGCAGTAACACAGTAGTGTCATGCACTATACCTTCACATTCTCTAGAAATGCACTGCTTACCTAGTATTAGGGGTGGAAAAAAAAACCTCAATATATTCAGTATTCCCAAGGCCACCCTATGTTTGTTTCATAACATGATGATTAATAGAATTGCAATGAAGACATTAACCACAGCGAAAGTATTTCACAAAAAAAATAAGAGGCATACGAAAACAAGGAGAAGGCCATTAGAACGGAAGTTTTGGAGACGCAATAATCGTAAAACGTCACAACTTTTCTATTAACAATAAGAAACCTCTCCACTCTCCACACATTAAATCAAACCTCCAGCAACAAACTCAAATTTCCAAAATAACAATACAAGAAACACAAAAATCACTAACAATGAGCATAAACCCCCAATATTTAAATAACAACACAATTAAATAACTAAACAAGAAATTAGAACAATTAATCAAATATTCTATTGAAATCGGGAAATTCTCACCAAAGAGAGTCTCCAGGTCCAGTGCCACATTGATGAAAAGCCAAGACAGCTCTAACCTTCAACCCACACCGTCTGGCTAACGCCACAAGATCCAAATACCCTCCCCAATTATAAACCCTAGGCTTCTCCCTCTCTACTATCCCCCACCAAACCTCCATAACCACACCTTCCACTCCAGCAGTCGACAACGCTCTCAACGACGCCGTCAAGACCTTAATCCTCCTCACCTTTCCATCCTCTGCCACCGAATCCGCAGGCAGTGTCACGTACACTGGCGATTCCCTCCTACGCCGCTCCACCGGACCAGTGAATCCATGTTGCAGCTCATACTGCTCGAAACCTTCACTTCCGCCATTGTCAGGAGAGACGGAGCCTCCTGCGCCGGAAGGCTTCGAGGAGTTGAGTCTAGAGGTGATCGCAAATCGGCGAGGTGGAAGGCGGCGAGTCCGTAGAGTTGAAAAGGTGGAAGGGAAGCTAGTTAGGTGAGTTGACTCACTGCGTTTGCAACAGAAGAAAGCAGAAAAACTTGGTGTTGATGGAGATGCGATCGCCATTGATCGAATTTTCGGTTATTACTGGTTAGGGTTTCGTCTGATAAGAAACGAATTAAAAATAAAATTAAAGAAATTATTTGTTAACAGTTTCTTTTTCGTGCGCGTGTGAGAGAGAGTTCGTTAAGGTTGGTTAGGAAGTGACAGTGTCTCGCGTTGTAGATATGACTTATGAGAAAGGCGAATAGTGGGGTCAGTGATTTTTGATGGCTGAGATTGTGTTTAAATGTTGAGTCAATTTTTTTTACAGTTGAGATTGGGCAGTGAAATAGTGATGGTTTTTTTATTGATGTTTTGTAAGAGAAATACCTCATTTATGCTCCCTTCTCATTTATAAGAAAAATGTGGAGTCTCAACTCTTGTTAATTTTAGTTTATTTGCTTTTTATGTAATAAATGAAAAGAAACTAAAATATATGGGGTTTTTAAAGAGTGATGATTTTCATTGTTCATTCATTCATATGTCATTGAAAATTTCTGTAGCTAAATGTGATATTTTTGTGATTTTTAATCTATTTTCAGACATTCATATTGAAATTATGCATCATATTTTATTCTGGTTTTTTAAGTTTTAAAATGAAATGAAATGTTTGATTCTCTTTATCCCTGCGGGTTCAAGGATGCATATTGCGTTGGATCTACTTCTGGAGGCCTAGACACATAGGCTTGCTTTGGGCTGCAGAAGCTAGGCTTGCAGGCTTGCTTTTTTCTTTTTTCTTTTTTTTTCTTATTACTTTTTTCATCAATTTATGTTTTATTATTATTATTGATTTAGGTGTGAAAATTATGAAAAATCAATTGTTATTTTTTCCACGCAAGCTAACAATTATAAAATATATACGATATATTTTTATATTTTAAAATAAATATATATATTGAATTATATTACTCTTATTGTTTATTATTTAAAATTGATCTCTTTAATTTGTCATTTATTTCAAAAATTTTCATCAAATTAAATTTTTATTCTTCTTTTTATGTAATTTTATTTTTTAATAAATATGATTTATTTTCTCCATTTATGAATTTTTGAATATTTTCTTCTTCTTTTTTTGTAATTGTTTTCATTTGCTTTTTCTTTATATAATTAAATTTTAAAAATAAAATTCACGTGTTTTTTTTCTAATTCTTTATATAATTGAATTTTATCAAAATTAATTTTGTAATTTTTTTATTGCACTTTATTAACTTTTATCTATTTTTTATGACTTAAAAGTATTATTTTTTAAGTGGTTTATGTTGCACATTCTAACCTAATAAGTTCGGTCATGAAGTAATATATATATATATATATATATATATATATATTAGAGTAATTGATTTTATTGGACATTAACCGTGTATCTACACACATAACACTAACCGTTTACTATTATTTTTTAATTTTTTAAAATTATTTTTTAAATAAAATAATTGTAATAAAGTTTTAGAAGAATTGTCTAATAATTCAAATATAATTTTTATACTAACTAGAATATATCATGAGCGTTGCCATGGGGTAAGCTATACAATATTCTTATTAAGGATGGCAATTTACCCCACCCCGCGTCAATTTTCCCCGATCAATGTGGGGATTCCCGCATTGACAGAGAAACGGGGCGGGGATGGGATTTGCTCGCCCTGCCCCGTTTGCCCCATTTCTTTTTTTTTCATTAAAATTATAATTATACCCCATATAAAATCTATAATTAGTGACTTTTAGAGTTTATTTTCTATATAAATTATCATATTTTTTGCTATAATTTAAAATTTGATAGTAGAATTGGATAAAATGAGACGAAAATAAAAAATAAAAAATAATTTTTTCCCCGTTTACGTCCCGTTTACCCCATGAGGATCCCTATCCTTGTTTGGGGTAGGGATGGTATGAAAATTTTTGCCCTGTTTAGGGCACGGGGAAAATTTTTCGGGGAGGGAGCGGGGATCCCCGTCCTCGCCCCGCCCCATTGCCATCCCTAATTCTTATGTGTTCATTCATATAAGATACAAATTTTAAAAATAAGCATATAAAAGGATCACACGAAAAAAATTCAGAGTGAGTTATACAACATTCTTATATATTCATTCATATAAAATACAAAATTTAAAAATAATTATTTAAAAAGATCAAGTAAAAAAATTTAAAAAAAAAAGAACCAAAACATATATCTTATATTTTTCCGTAAGGTTAGCTAAACGAAAAGCTGCAGAGTGAAGTTGAGTAATATAATGTTGTTAATTAGATATTGTTTGATATAAACATGTATTTTATTATAAATATATATAATAATGTGGTAGTTTTTAAAATTTTAGATGATTAATTTTTACCATATATTATTCATCTATAATTTGTTAATGAGATAGAGAGACCACCCAAAACAAGAAGACAAAAAACTTTCTCAAATCGAGAATTTTAAAAAAAATAGAGATAAAATTACATACGATCAAAATTAAATGATTAAAACAAAGTAAAGATCATAAAAGAATGATAAAAAAAAAAAAAAAACTTTCACTAAAAGCAAAAAAAAAAAAATTATAAACAATAAGATTGTTAGCAATTTTACTAAAAGCCAAGAAAAAATATTTACAATAGGAACAAAAATCAAATATGATAAATTTTTAATATTTATTATAGGGACAAAAAATCAAATATACTAAAATTTAGATGACTAAAATAATAAAAGTTTATAAAACAGGAACTAAAATAAAAATAAAATTCGCTAAAAGCCAAAAGAGAGGCTTAAAAAATACGAGGAAGAGAAAAAATGATTTACTATAGGAATAAAAATTAAATATAATAAAATTTTAAAGGCCAAAATAAAAAAGTTACAAAACAGGGATTAAAATAAAATTTTAATATTTATTATAGGGACGAAATGAAATATAATAAAATTTTAATAACCGCGATAAAAAATTACAAAACAAGGATTAAAATAAAAATAAATTTCACTCGAAAGCCAAAATAAGAGCTTAAAAAATATAGCAAGAGGAAAAAATGATTTATTGTAATAAAATTTTAATAACTAAAATTAAAAAAAAATTACAAAATAGGGACTAAAATGTAAAATTAATTTAAAGCCAAAAGAAAGGCTTAAAGAAGCAAGAGAAAGAAAGAAAACAAAAAAAAATAAAAACAGAGCTACATGCAAAGCAAGGCAAGGGGGAGAAAGAGAGAGAGAGAAAAAATTAACTCGACCTATAGGCAAGCAAGGAAAAAAAGTATGAACGAGTAAATGAACAATAAAAACGCTATAGTATTAAAAAAAATAAAAAGATTCATTTTTAAATTTTTATACAATTTTTGTATTAATTGTTACTTTATTCTTTGATGCAGTATTATGAAAAAAATATTAAAACTTTTTTAAAATTTTATATTAAAATTATTGCTGGTTTTTATTTAAGCATAAATGCATAAGAAAGAAGAAATCGTATTTTTTTAACAATAAAAATTATTAAAAATAAACAAAAAAAATAGATACAAAGTTTTTTTTAAAAAAAGATGAAATTTTATCTTTAATTTAACATATTTTAGTTGATTGATAGCATAGTACATATTATCAAACCGAAATAAATATATTTAGTTTAATCGTAGTGTGGGACGGAGAGCCGAGTAGGGTATTTAAGAGTTATGGACATTTCAATCAACTAAAATATTAAAAAAAGAATAAAAAAAATAATTGACCAAATAATTACTGGAATGGTAAAGTGGGGCTCCATGCTCCAAACAAATTATTTTTGCTTCATATATATATATATTATGGCTAAAGGATCCAAACTTTGTTTGAATTTTAATTCATTTAAAATCAATTTTTAATTTTTAACTGGATATTTATATAATTATTTTTTATTTGAAATTGGGTTTTTATATTAGATTTTTATCGACTTTAATGGTGAAAGAATAAATAGCTTGTACATAGTTGACTTTTGAACATTTTTAACGAGATAAAAATATTCTCTTCCACAACTTATTTTTGCTCCTTAAAAAAATTAGTTGCTTATTTCTTAGTATTTAGGAGGAAAAGGTCAAGGTTTTTAGGGGGAAAAAAAGAAACAAAACATTTATAACTTTCAACATGTTTTTAACTGTTAAAAAATTGAATAAATCTTAGAATTGATAAAACCCTAACAAAATTTAGATTAAAAAAATAGTTAGAGAGAATTTCAATCCAAAATTAAAAATTGAAAAGACAATTTTCAAATGATTTAAAATTCAAAAAAGATTTTAACCATTTAGCCTTATATATATAAAAAAGAAAACAAATACAATGTTTAATCCAAAACTTAGATGTTTAGAATTCTTTGATATCCACAAACACTAAATGATTAAATTAAAGAAGATAGATACCTTTGCGATTTTTATTAGGACATCTTTAGAAGTCTAGTTACCCAAAAACTTTTAATTTGGAAACTAAAGCAACCATTGCAACTTTTATTACTGTTGATAACTTATTACGCATGCTTATAATCCCCACCTTGAAATTATATCATTTTATCGATATATATATACCTTTTAATTTTAGCAACGATCGTTGTGCATCGGTTCTCATAAAATAAAAAACTTCATATATATTTTGCGGTTAACTCACGAGTTCAAGATTATATCGGTTCCTAATTCAACGTGTCTTTATTTATTGTGATCTTTTCGTGTTCTAAAAAAAAATTATAAATATTTTTGTAAAGTTTAACTTGGTGATTGATTATTATAATTTTTTTTAATTGCTAATTATTTTATTATGTAAATAAACCATGCCTGTTGATTTTGCAAGCATGATGTGAATAAAAACTTTATATTTTGTAGTTAACTCATGAATTTAAGATTGTATTGGTTTGTAATCCTACAAGTCTTTATACATTGTAAAGAAATAATATTATAGCTATTCTTGTGAAGTTTAAGCTGGTGGTTGATGGTTATAATTTTCTTTTAATTGCTGGTTATTTTATCACGTGAATAAATCATAACTATTGATTTCACAGGTAAGAGGTAACGTGTTTTTCAAAAACTTTAGACAATCTAAATCTTAATATATATATATATATATATATATATATAAGTCAATGTGTTGCACGCATCGGAGCTAATGAGATATGCAACGTACATTGACAATCTAATCACTTGAATATAGTAAAAGGAAACCATATGCAAACACACCTTTTTGCATTCCACCTGTAGCAAGAAAACATAACAACATATTACTATTAAGCAAACAAAAGTGCTTTCTTTAGCTACGAGGATCTTGCAGTGTTTGATAAAGTAGTATTGCATCATATAAGCCATTGACAAGATGTTTTTCTATTTGATTAATGACCACAACTTATCAAATGGAAGATTAAATTGGCTTTATTTAGTGCTATATATATATATATATATATATATATATATATATCCCTTTCTTTAAATTAATACTATTTATTATTATATATATTTATTTTGAATAAAATCTATAAGTGATAATTAAAGGTTCAGAGTCATTAGATTTTGTGAGTTAGACATATTAATAATAGATAAAAGTGCAAAATTAAGTTAAAAAATTAGAAGGTTTTTTTTTTTTTTTCTTGACAACACCAATTTTCTGGAACAATTGCGTACGAACTTACTGAACAATAGCACGAGACATGTATTCTATTAATTTTTATTGTGATTAGATGCCTAGATATACTTAATTTATCTAATATATGATAGCAAAGTCGAGTTATTTAATTATTAAACACAATGTAGGTAATTTATACATGCATGATTTGTTTGCTTAGTTGACATATTTAAATTTTATGTCAAGTTTATATAAATATTATGGATATTTATTAATATATTTATATACAAAAAATTGTTGAGAAAAAACTACGATACGGTTTACATGATTGTTTTGATATATTATTATAAAGTTTTAAATTGATAATAAAGCATATCATGTTGAGATTGTGATGTTAATCGACTTAGTAATAGTCACAACATCTTAAGTTATTTTCATAATCATATTAAAAATTATTAAATTAATAATACTCATAAATTAAATAACTTAACTTTCAATTATTTCACAAAAATAACGAGAAGCTTGTCTTTCTTCGAAGGCAAGGTAACTTGAAAGTATTTTAGAATAAAAATTCTTAAAAAAGTATATATTTTTTAATTATTTTGTATAAGTTTGATTAGTTTGTAAATTGCTCTGTATTTCAAATTAATTTGAAGGGTTAAGTTGTAAGTTTAAATAAAAAAAAGTATCAATCATGGCGGCTAATGTGCTTCATTGGATGATATTTAAAAGTGAATGTATCTGATTGAGAAAAATAAAATTCCAAATTTAGTTGCAAAATATTTTCCTTTTTTGTAAAAAAAAGAAAGAAATAATAAATAAATTGAGCAAGAATTAATTTCATAGTTGATAAAAAAATAATAATTTTAAATGATGACATTGCATTAAGATATCATCGAGTAACATATAACTTTAGCAAATATTTCACATGCATCTAATTTTCTTCTCAATCTATCCACTCAAAAAGGTTTGTATGGATAGAAAGTAAAGGTTTTATCGTAAAATAAAATTGTATACTTAATTAATTAAAAGAACATAAAACTTGGTTAATTTTCCTATTGGAGGACTAAAACGAAACAGAGTTGTGTTTGGCGCTACCATGCACGTCATTGTCAGAAAGCAATAAAAATTCCGTCTGGGTTCTATTTGAAATTGTACAAAAATATTGCACATTAAATTAAAAAAAAAAATGCAAGCAAGCCTAGAAGGCTGGACCGAGACACGTATAATTCCCAATAATAAACGGCCACGATCACCCCAACAAAATCTCCAATTTCATTGGCTGATGGTAACATAATCAAATTCCTATTGGTCCACGCATGCAGCCATGACATGTTCTAGCTTGAGTTCCATAAGCTACGAAATAGAGGCTCGTTCCTATATAAACCCCACCCACCCACGCGCGTTTCTAAAGGGAAAAACACTGAAACAGATAGCCCGTTTGAAAACACTCGATTCAATTAATTTTCACTCGAAAAACCCAGAGAATCCTCCATTGTAAATTCATAGAGGGAGAGAGAAAGAGAGAGAGAGAGGACGCGATGGCGGGCACGTCGAGAGTGCGTGGTGTTGTGGTATCCGCGATTCTCTTATTCGGTGAGTGTTTTTGATCTCTTCATCTTGATAGATCTGATTCGCCTTTTAATCTTTTTTTCTTGTTTGATTCTAATGGAGAAGAATGCTGTAGATCTGGATAGATTTTATAAGCTCTTAAACGTTGCCTTTAGATCTGTTTAGATTTATAGTGTTGCTTCCATTGATTTGGAAATGGGGAAATGATTTGCTGTTTAAGCTTCTAAACCGTTCCTTTTGTAGTTTGATTATCAAGATTAGCTGGTAGGACAGTTAAACAGAATTAGAATGTAATATTATTTGGATGTATTTTTTTATTTTTTATTTATCTATCTATTATTGTTATAGGGTGTTTGTTTGCGATTTCGATTGCGAAAGAGGAGGCAACAAAGTTAGGAACAGTAATTGGAATAGATCTTGGAACTACTTATTCGTGTGTTGGTGTTTACAAGAACGGTCATGTCGAAATCATAGCAAATGACCAAGGAAACCGTATTACCCCGTCGTGGGTGGCCTTTACCGACAGTGAGAGGTTGATCGGTGAGGCTGCGAAGAATCAGGCGGCTGTTAATCACGAGAGGACTGTCTTTGATGTCAAAAGACTTATCGGAAGAAAGTAATGGATGATTTTCCGCTGTTTGTTTTGTTGTAGTAAGTTTTCAGAGTGATTTGGTTACTAAGGTTTGTTGTTTTGTAGGTTTGAGGATAAGGAAGTCCAGAGGGACATGAAACTTGTCCCATACAAGATTGTGAACAAGGATGGGAAGCCTTATATTCAGGTGAAGATGAAGGATGGGGAGACTAAGGTTTTCTCTCCTGAAGAGATCAGTGCTATGATTTTGACTAAGATGAAGGAAACGGCTGAGGCATTCCTTGGAAAGAAAATCAAGGATGCTGTTGTCACTGTTCCTGGTTAGTAACCGTTTTTGGCCTCTTTATCGAGTCAAATGTATCATCAGTTATGTAATCTTACTGATTTGGTGGTCTTGTTCATTCTGCAGCATACTTCAATGATGCCCAAAGGCAAGCCACCAAGGATGCTGGTGTCATTGCTGGACTCAATGTGGCTAGAATTATTAATGAGCCAACTGCTGCTGCTATTGCTTATGGTTTGGATAAGAAGGGTGGTGAAAAGAACATTCTTGTCTTTGATCTTGGTGGTGGTACATTTGATGTCAGTATCTTGACCATTGACAATGGTGTCTTTGAGGTTCTTTCAACCAATGGTGACACACACTTGGGAGGTGAGAATGAGAATAAGCTCTGCCTTTTTTTCCTTTTTCTTGTGTATGTTGTATGATCATATTTCTATTGTTTATGGATGTTAAGCTTATGGTGAACTATTTTATCGCAGGTGAGGATTTTGACCAGAGGATTATGGAGTACTTCATTAAGTTGATCAAGAAAAAGCACGGAAAGGATATCAGCAAGGACAACAGGGCTCTTGGAAAGCTCAGGAAAGAATCTGAGCGTGCCAAGAGAGCTCTTAGTAGCCAGCACCAGGTCCGTGTGGAGATTGAATCACTTTATGATGGCATGGATTTCTCTGAGCCACTCACCAGAGCCCGTTTTGAAGAGTTGAACAATGATTTGTTCAGAAAGACAATGGGACCTGTGAAGAAGGCTATGGAAGATGCTGGTTTGGAGAAGAACCAGATTGATGAGATTGTTCTCGTTGGTGGAAGTACCAGAATTCCAAAGGTCCAACAGCTTCTTAAGGATTACTTTGACGGAAAAGAGCCTAACAAGGGTGTGAACCCTGATGAGGCTGTTGCTTTTGGTGCTGCTGTTCAAGGAGGTATCTTGAGTGGAGAGGGTGGTGATGAAACCAAAGGTATTGCTATTTTCTGAATGTGGTTTTATGTTTTGTTAAATAACCATTTGAACTATCATTGACAATGGGAGCTGTGGCATACTGGATGATGCAGATATTCTTCTCTTGGATGTGGCTCCCCTCACCCTGGGTATCGAAACTGTTGGTGGAGTGATGACCAAGTTGATTCCAAGGAACACTGTTATCCCAACCAAGAAATCTCAAGTTTTCACCACTTACCAGGATCAGCAGACTACTGTCTCCATTCAGGTAAAATTATTGTTAAATTTTCTTTTATATTCTTCTGACACTAAACAATGCCTTGGAGATCTTAATCGGGTTGCTTCTGATTGCATTACAGGTCTTTGAAGGTGAAAGGAGTCTCACAAAGGATTGCAGGCTGCTTGGCAAATTCGATTTGACTGGCATTGCTCCAGCCCCAAGGTCTGTCTAATGTACCTGTTAACTCTTTATATTGTATGCTCCTTTTTCTGGAAGTTAGTGTTGACTGATTCTTTGACTAACAGGGGAACCCCTCAAATTGAGGTCACGTTTGAGGTCGATGCCAATGGTATCCTGAATGTCAGGGCTGAAGACAAGGGCACTGGTAAATCAGAGAAGATCACCATCACTAATGACAAGGGTCGTCTGAGCCAGGAGGAAATCGAGCGTATGGTTCGTGAAGCAGAGGAGTTTGCTGAGGAGGACAAGAAGGTGAAGGAGAAGATTGATGCTCGTAACAGTTTGGAGACCTATATCTATAACATGAAAAACCAGATTAACGACAAAGATAAGCTTGCTGACAAGCTTGAGTCTGACGAGAAGGAGAAAATTGAAACTGCTACAAAGGAGGCCCTCGAATGGCTGGATGACAACCAGAGTGCTGAGAAAGAGGACTACGATGAGAAGCTCAAAGAGGTTGAAGCCGTTTGCAACCCAATCATCACTGCCGTATACCAGAGATCTGGTGGAGCCCCAGGTGCTGAATCAGCCGAAGATTCTGAAGATGACTCACACGATGAGCTCTGAGAATCTTTTTCCGTTTCCATTTACATCTGCTGGAAAGCAAGGGCAAGAGATGAGGATGTAGGAGGCTAGATGAAGCTGAGGATGCTGTAATTTTGTTGATGCTAGAAGAGAAAGGGTTTAATAAAATCCCTTTCTTCGCATGTTTTTTATTTTTTATTTGAGATTAAAAATACATCGAATAGTTGTTTTTACTAATTTGTATTCTCTATGTTGGAAACTTTTTCTACAATTATAAGTCCTTTATTGACGATCGTATTCTTGATCCAAGATTGAGTTGTGTTTACTCCATGAGAGAAACGGAACCCTTGATGCTTTTTGGGGTCATGAATAACAGGACTTTTTATAAGTACCAGTCTCTTCTTCACTATTTGTGTCAGGGAATTTGGAGCGTTTTTCAACTATCAAGAATTTTAAAGCTTTACTACCACCATGCGAAGGCCACGATGAACACAACTCGAGGATATTTTGATCTAGTTTACAAAAACTTCTTGTCATGGGCGGCACCCAAAAACCTGAGTGCTGAGCTGGATGGGAAATTGGTTTTTGGTGCAAGCGTGTACAGGCTATAACCCATAGCTTGTCAAGTGGTTTCTTACAATCTCCAGGTCTGTGGAAGACAATGACCTGTTTAGCCTGCTTAAACGCTAGAACTTCAGTAAAAGCAACTAAACTAGATACTGCAAAAAAGGCACAAGTTCTGCTTTATCAACTAGAGAGCAGATTATCCTCTCAAGATTAACAAAGGATTATACAATGTACGGGGGTGAATGAAAACCCACTCTTGTTAGTGAGGGCATTTACCCAATGAAACAGATGAATGGGGAAAAATACTTTTTACTTATTTCATGACATATATTGAAGAACAATTATGGTGAAAAGAATTTATTTGCTCATAGGGAGCAGATATAGAAGCATATTCTTTGAATTACAGACCGGATTTGGGATCGCCTGAGCCTGCTGCTACAACTCCCATTCCTACTACATTTACTCTCGTTTTATCCTGGTCACTTGTTTCTCCAAAAGCAACTTTATCACCATCCAACTCTTTAACAAGTTCATCGATCTTGCGAAATTGATAGGGCCATCTTGCATTGTAGAGGAACTGACGAAGATCGAACCTGTTATCCTCAGGTGAATAACTCTGCATGCAAATAGATGAATATCAGTTTCTTAAACCAAAATGATGATTTAAAGTTTCTGTTTTACAACAAAATACCTCAGCATGATAAGAAGGTGTCAAGACAGTCATTTTGTGTCGATTAATGGAGTAGTACTTGAAGAAGTGCTTCACTTTATCAGCCACCTCTAGTGGAGATAATCTTGACCCCCATCTGTAGCAGAGATTCTGAAATGATGGAAGATAGCACCAGCAGATGTGAGACTTTGGATGCAATGAGTCATTTACGAGACATCATAATACAGCATTCCAAACCAAACCTTAAACATTGACACGGGACCACAGCGAAAAATCTTCCGCAGCCTTCCGTAAACTGAGAGTTCCTCATATGTCATTCCCATGTCCACTTCATCAAGCTGTTCCATGCAGAATTGGGCATCAGAATTAGTACATCAATTGGATAGAAGTATGCACGTTAACATCAGAAGCATCAGTTTGAAACAAACACAAGCATGCATTGAAGATCAAATGATTATGGTTAATGAAAGAAAACCTGGCTGTAGTTGGAACGTATAGGCTCCAACTCAGCTGTCGGTGGAGCTGCTTCAATTTCTCCCAAGGAAGAGTAACCAAGATGGACTGCAGCCCATCGCAAGAATGCTCGAAGGTCCTGCTTACTAATACTTCCAATTGGATTTATATCTGCAGAGCTGCAATCATACTGCAAAAGACATGAAAGTGAATTCTCAAAAGTAGATGGACCATTTTCATTTTGATGGAACATGTTAACTATTGGCCGTATCAACATCAAACTCCCAGAACCAATGCATTTAAAACAACTAGGGAAAACTGAATTTATCTGGTTTGCAAAGCTAGGAAAGGTGAAAAATTCCACTCAAATTGTTAAACTATACTCCACACAGATCAGGCGTGATGAAGCAATCAAGTTTACTAAGAAAAGCAGTTTGTTTTAGAACTAAAAATATTGAATATCTGGTTTCTAAGTTATTCAGTACCTTAGTTAGGTAACCGCGCAATCCTTCGTCCACATTGGAGCTACCCAAAACGAGGTAAAACCCTGGTTTGCTGTGAACCCAAGGCAAGAGTGAGGCTAACATAAACGCTAGCACCATCCTGATTCGAGCTTGAATATTCTGCAGCCCTAGGTTCTCAATGTTCGAACCCCCATCCACCTGAAAAATGTAAAAAGTAAAAGGAAAAATCTTAAGGTAAATATGGTAAAGCTCACTCGTACAACGGCCAGAAAACCTTTCAATTTCAGAAATACAAAATTTTCTGGTAATCTTAAGATTATAGTTCTTCAGGAAGCAAATTAAAGTCCACGCTAAGATTTCACTGATAAACTAAATCATTGCATAATTCGAATAGTTACTATACAGCACTCATGAGAGAAAATACAAAGATTTTTTTTCCCAAGCCATCCACTGGGGGCTGTTTCTAACCGTCATTTTACCTTATAACGCGGTCGCTTGCCAGTAAGTGTTTGAAACAACGATAGCAGTGCAGACACAACACCATCTATGCTAACATCCAGATGCCATGAACCAATCTCATCTGCTAGATCTTTTGCCCGCTTCTTTGTGTCTTCAGAACTGATGGGGAAAAAAAAAGATAAATCCAGTTACTATTACCTTAAGGAATTGCAATCAATCTAAGAGTGAAACATTTTATTAAGCAACCAAATAAATTATCAGAAAGTTGGCTTCTGGCAGTGGAACCAGTTGATATCTGAAATTCCTCCAAAATCAAACCCAATAATCCTCTGTGGAGATTCAGTGCATGTTTCTACTTGACAAGCACTTTTTGACAGCAGACACGCACAAGAAAATCCGGTGTTTATACCAAATCTTAAGGCAATCAATGACAGGCCTTAACATACAAATCCATTAGCATTGCTGATCAAGTGTTAAGGAACCTTTAATTACGAGTTAGCAATTTTATAGTTTTGTGCTAGTCTATAGTAACTGTTTGGTACTTAAACAGGAATTTAAATGCTAGGAAATAAAGTTGAAAAAAAGAGATAATGATGAACACTAAGAAATATATACCAGTCTTCAAATTTCAAAATAGCAAATCTTTGTCCTGAAAGTAGTACCCAAAATTTAGTGATTTACATTTAGTGCCAACTAATAATCCAGACAGCATCAAAGAAAATTGAATGGTGGCTATATATAATGCAAATTCCTATGGTAGCAATGATAATAACAAGCCTGTCTCTAACAGAACTGTGACAAAAACAAAAGGAAAATGAACAGCAATTCTATGCACATCTACCAACCTGTTCTCAGATCCCATAAATACACTATAAAATATTCGTCTTGCAAATTCTTTGCTGTCAGTCGGAAAATGCCCATCAGTATAATTCCCAATTCTTATTGCATCAGCTTTGACCCGTTCATCCCCGTTTTCAATTTCTGCAAGCAACATGTAAGAAAAACCAATGAATAGTAATCATAGAATTTAGGGATGGCTGTTTCAGGTTTGCAAGACAAAAATAACCTTTTGGACATAAATTTATGCTTGGTGGCAGTGTAGATACTACCTGAAAACTTTTCTTAGTTCACACTTACCAACCTCATGAACTAGAGTCGTGACCATTGATTAATACCAGCTCAAAAATCTTTCCTAACATAGTTATGAACTAAACTTTTTTAATCTAATTCAATAATGTGCATAGTTAAGATTACTGATAGTAAGCAATGTTGATTATATCCATTCTCTTATATTTAGGCTTTTGGATGTGCTTTTAGATTAATTGCGCTAAATTAAGTTTATCTTGTGGTTTAGGAGAAGATTGGAGACAAAGGAGCAAAAGTGTGTTAATTAAGACGAAATTCCAATCTTGGCAGAATAACCTTCTGAGGAAGAAAGGGAATTTCATATCCTTACAGCTCCACAATGTAAAAGAGGCCTTCTTAAAGATTAAAGTGGATATCTTAAGCTTTCCAGATTGGGTTGAAAAGCACAAATTCATTCTATTTTGGGCTGTCAAAGTCGCAAGGAAAGTCAGGACAGAAATTCAGATCCCGTGACAGTTCGGAACACTGATCAGTGTTTGGACCATATTTGGAGTTATAAATATTGGATTTAGATGATTCAAAAGCCTACAGAAAGAAGACATCCAGACCTACAACTTTCATGAAGAGCTCGAGTCCAAATTCTGCCGCCTTCTGACTCTAAATCAGTTCAGAAGTTTCAGCACAGAACCTAAAGTTCTATTCAGCAACAAGTGCTAATTAATTTCGGAAACAAGCTTAAATAGGACTTTGTTGGCCATCATATTTTATCTCTTTATATGTATAAATAAGCCTCTAGGGCTACACATTAAAGGATACTTTTCTTTTACATAAGTTAGAGTTTTATGCTTCAAACAATGTCTGACTAAATTTTCTTAATTGAAGTTGCAAAAGATTGTGAGAAATGGGTTTGATCTTTAAACCATTCTTGATGATTTGAGTCTCTTTTATTTATCTAAACCTAATTAATTGATCTTTGAATTTAATTAATTATGATTGCATATATAATTGTCTAAGGAGCTCATTAGTTGATTGTCTATTGTGATTTATATCTAACTTTCTTAATCCGTAATTATTATGAAAATTTAGCACAAGTAGCAAATAGGTTTTTATGATTATGAACCCAATTTTTGTGACTACCTAAGGGAAATAAAAGGATAGATTCAATAATTTAGGCGTCCTAAAATTGTTGTTCAGTCTTAACTATCTTCCTAATTCGTAATGCTATTATTGATTTGATTAGGATTGCTTAAATATGAAAATCAATTGATAATAAGAATTTAATTCAGGTGTTGATTTTTGAGTTAATGAATATAAAGAAGATTCAGGTTTATGCTACTGTCTAGGTAAATCTAGGCTAAGTATTCGATGAAAGGATAGTAATTTAAGTGTCTATAATCATATGAAAATTGAATGTTTGAATTTTCCCTTGAACTAAAGTTTTCTTAAATTGAAGTTTTCCTTATTTGAATTCTGCTTTGTTTTAATTTCAATATACAAACAAAACCCTCCTTTGAATCTAAGTTAACAGGATTGATCTACCAGTCTCTAGGGTTCGACCTGGGCTTGCCTCTACTGCAAAAATTGGTAAGCTCAATAAGTAATTTAAATTTGGTGCATTCGACACACATCAATTGCCTAAAAGAATACTGCTTCACTTATCTCTATCTATGCAATCCTGGATAGCCAGCAGAGTACTGAATTCAGCTCTAGGCACTTGGTTGTGTATATTGATAGCTATGGCTAGTTAACTGGGCTATTACTGATGATCTCCTTTAGTATGGGAAACAGAACAAAAAGATAGACTTAAAAAGGTGAAACAGTTGCCTTGAAAAACTGACCTTTTATGACAAGCTGGCACATGCAGCCAACTATAGCAGCCACAGAGGAACTATCCGCTCCACCGGAAAGGGGAAGCAGAAATCCAGAAGCTCCACTTCTTCTTAAATAGTCCCATAGCCAACAACCAGGGCCAAAGGCTATTTCCTCCTCAGGAGAGTGATAATTGATCTACAAATCATAAATCACGCCCAACCTAATAAACTTAGATATTTAACAAAAAGGTGCCAAAATGTAGTAAATGTCATTGATAGTTTTCAAAACTCAGTTGCTAACATCAAGTATTCCTGATTTAACAATAGTGAAAAGCCAAGAGAAAACCTTAAGGGGGCTAGAAAGGGACGCTTGCATGTTAAAAGGCTGACAGAGCTTGTATGGAACCAGGACTGATGATACTGTGTTTCTGTAACTTGCTTGTTCTTGAAAACTACTAATAGATCCCCTTAGACTAGCAACCTGCCATCAAACCAGAGACTAAATGCATCAGAGTCAAATGCTTCAAACATAGAACACAAGAATATAGTAATATGATAGGTTCTAGAATGCTGCAAAATATTATCAACAAAGCAAAATCAGCTGACAGTCATATATTATGAAATGCTCTCAGATAAAATATTTCAGCAATCCATCAATGCTTATGTTCCCTCGGAGCGCAAAAGTATAGCATACCGCATCCAGATCCACTTGGGCAACAACAACCTCAATATCCCTTAAAGAAAACTGTGAGCCTTGAGCAACCACTTCTCCGTTCACAACAACGCAAGAGCACCCATCTGCGACAAATGAACTGTTAACCACAGAGTGTTCCAAACAATTTTCTCTTTCAAAACACACTCATGAACAAACTAAACAAGAAACAGAGTTATTGGAAGGTGTAAGCATCAAACCATAAAAACCACAATAAGTGCAACATATAAGCTTCAATATGGAATTCAGGAATATTTTCACTAAACAAAATAACAGCAGCAATAAAATTAAATGTAATCACCAAGAAACTAAGAGCATCTGTATACCGTAATACAGGCGGCTGCCATCACATCCTTGGTGATTACTGTACATGTAAACTCCTCCACGAGTATGAGTAGCTCCTATAAAAGCACGAAGACGAACATCAAGCTTTCTCAATTGGTGGTGACTTCCACTTGCATTCATAAACACTTCAACCCCATTGAGTGCAAGCTCAGCATGAGGAGGGATAGGAGTGAAAAGCTCTTCACAAACTTCAGCAGCCACAGCTCTACATACGAATAAATGCTAACATTACCATTTAGTTAAAACAACTTACCAATAACATACAAAACCCAATAATCCCATTATGAATACACTCACACTACAGTACCAACATCAACAGCTAAACTACCAATCAAACTAAGAACAAAAAGAACAACCAGAACCACAATCACTTACGTATCTAAAAACTGCACATATCCATAACCAAAAGGCACAGAATTTTGTGAAATAGCCTCAGCAATTTCACTTGGGAGCTGAAAGTCCAGAAGCTGATCTTTGTGCTTCCATGCTGTAAACCACCTAAGTTCCCTATAATTCCCATCATTGGCGAGCCACATTTTCGGACGAATCATAATAATCTTTCTATTAAAGCAGAAAATTTGACAATTATAACGCTCTGATCCTTTAATAACAGGCATTCCTATACTACACAATATCCCATCTGTCCAATCACCAACCAATATCTCTTTCAAGCACTCCCATCTGCAATACAGATCCAAACTTTCACTCTTAAATTCCAATTCAACAAGATAAAAAAAAAAAAGAAAAAAAAAAGACCCAGATCGTAAAAATCAATAAAAAAAGAAAGAAAGAAACTGATACTGACCCATGATTGATAGTGTCAAGTTCCAAGAAATGATCTTCACATCCATAACCAGTGATTTCAAGCTCAGGGCCGAGTCTAATAACTGCACCAGCTTGTTTAGCTTGGGTTATTGACTCTTTTATGTTGTTTAAATTACAGTCAAAATCCATTGCCCACTGGTTTAAGTTACAAGTAGCTACCTTTAACAACCTCATGGTGTTTTTAAATCCTAGGAGCCAAGAAAAACCACACAAAGTTTCAAACTTTACTCTATAAAAACAAGAGTAAGGAGCTCAAAAATCTTAAAAAGAAAGAAAGAAAGAATTTCAGTAATTTCAAGGGGCGATGACAATGAAGAAGAGGGATTTTTGGCCCTGTGTTTTTTGAGAATATTGGAATTGGATTCTGTTAGGATTTGGAGGGACTTCATTTTGTGGTGGTTTATATTGGAATTGAAAGAGAATGGATTTGAATTCATTTGATATTTGGGTTCTTGGATTCATTCTGGGCTTCCAGGATCCTTGGACGGGTTTGGGCGACGGACTTTGGGTTGTTTTGACACGTCAATTTACGTTTCAAACTCAAGTAAATTGACTGACTTGGATACGCTCTCTGTGACCATTTTTCCAATCCCGATCGTGTTTTAAACAGATTATTTATTTCCATTCGGTTGTTGTTTTCTTTGAATTTAAATCCAAAAATATTGTAAGGAAGTTGACCATTTAGATCTTGAATATCAACTAAGGAAACGTTTGGTACAAAGATATATTTTCTGAAAAAATTATTTGAGACGTCAATCATTCTTACGTTTGATAAGCAAATTTCTAAAATTCCATCCATATATATATATATATAACCAACAAATCTATGAATTCAATTCTCTTATAAAAAGAAAGGAATTTGAGAAGGCAAGAATTTCATTTTGTTTTTACTCAATTTTTTCCAATAATTTCTTTAGCATATCTTTAAAGAAGAAATTTGATGTAAAAACACCATAAAAAAAGTTAACTATTTATTTTTTGAATATCAACTAATTAAAGAAACATTTGGATGTTTAACATTTTATTGGAAAAATTATTTGAGATGTCAATTATTTTTGTGTTTAGTAAGTTAAGACATCTCAAATTCCTAAAAATCTCACATATATTATGATATTAAATTGCCAACAAATCTATGAATTCAATTACCTTGTAAAATGAAAAGAATTTGAGAAGGCCAAAAATTTGGCATGGAGACATTTCATTTTCACTTAGATGCTCTATTTTTTAAAATAATTTTTTTAGCATATCCTTATCTTTTAAAGTAATCGATTGAAAGATTGAAAGAACGTAAATTCACTAAAAAAAGATAAATGTAAAAAAAAAAAAAGCATTACGAAACTAAGGAGAATGTTGGTAAGTCTGGAAAATTTTGGTCAACGATCAGAACCGAAGAGTGTGAAAGGGTAACTTGTATATTTTTTTTTTAAAATAGTGATTTTTTGGTTATGTAAATAAATAAGGTTTTTTGGGTTTTTTTATCTCTCTCTCTCTCTCTCTAAACCTTTTGGATTTTTCTAGATTTTCGTATGCAGGGGGCTTAAATCTTAAAAATCTCCATCCCCCTGCTATCCATTTCTTCACGCGATGATGCCACTTGTCAAACCAAAATAAGACAAGAACATCATCATGCATGTGAAATGGAGAGAAGACCTAATAACTAGGTTCTAAGAGCCTGTGATATAGAATTACAGGAGTCTATTGACGTTTCTAGAATGGAAATCACATTGCACTGATTTTGTTAGCTGCATCTTATTATTTAGTCGCTTTAACAAATTCTATTAACCCTTTGGCAAAGGAAGCAAGGGGATGTAAAATGGCATGTACTCTACAATTGTTTTTTTTTAGCAATCACCATTTTTGGATCATTAAAACATTCCATTTATTTATTCACTTAAACAAAATTCTATTAAGCCCATAAGCTAACAACTTCTCCTAATTAATAATCTCCATTTTGAAAATAAGTACGAACATGACATTATGATATTATGGTATAGGTGTTAATAAAACACAATGAGATTAACACCATAAAAAGAGCAATTAAAATTTAGTGTAAAGAGAAGAAATAGAAGGGTGATATTTAACTATGTTATAATTAGTTAGAAGCGAGACTAAGCTTGTTAACAAGTTAACCTTCTAGTTAATTATATTGTTAAGTTAGTTTGTTTAGTCCATAACTAAATTACCCGGAATAGTTATTATTAGGTAGGTACTTACACTTCGTTGCAGTCAAGCACCTGTTACATGTGTATAGTTTGTAATTTGTATGCTACATTATGAGAAGAAACTTGTTTTTGGTGATTAATGTAGAATAAATGTATTTGTGAAGTGAATTTTTTATTCTTTTATAGCGGTTTCTTTTATTTTTTTTAGTAAATATTATTTAATAAATTTTTATTTCTCTTGTTAGTTTACGATCTTTTGTAGTTTTGTAATAAGCAAACGAAACATCTAAAATGTTATAGAAATTGCATGCATGGAATTTCAATGAATTTTGCATTCAATCGTAATTGGATTTTATGCGGCCGATAATGATGTTTATGCTTCGCTATATTGGTAGTATTAAAGACATGAGTTGAAATGAAGTGGTGGCCTCATGATTTGTTGTAAAAAAGGTTATGTCGAATTCGAAAAATCTTTAGCCGATTGATGGCATCTAGCAATTATTATAGACCACGTTGTTATCATCATAACCAAAGCTCAACACCGATTGCTTGTATTCGTATCCAAAACATGATGTAGTCTGTTTTTCGATGAGCGACAATCTTGCTTCGGACGTTTGATCTTGAATGATGCATGTGATATTATACCTAAAAAGAAAAGATAAAAAAAATAGATTAAACTAATATGGGAGAAAATGTAATGTCTTTCTATATGTTTATTGCAAAGAAGAAGATCAAAATATTGTAATTGTAAAAGGAGTAGTTAATTAATGACATTGTAAATGATTTACTTGTGAAATAAAATTCTTATTAATTATGAAATGGATTATGCATGAGTAGATGTTTATTGATTTATGAGTTAGGCGGCAACACACTCGGGCACGTCGGGTACCACCATCCAAAAGTTGTGTCGATATAAACTATTATGGCCTCAATTATGTAACAAACTATCTATCGAAAAAAATTGATTAGTAAGGTATGTTATTGGCAGTCTTTTTTAAAAAATAAAGTGTGCACACACTTATATACACACACACACACACATATTGAAACTAATATAGATATCCGAAAACCTCATTGTTGTCAATCGATGATTGAAGCAAATGCTCAATAGTTGATCCGTTTTCATCCGGAAAAGCAATAGGTTAATCTAGTTTGGCACCCGCACCGTATCGATGCGAAAGCAATTGTTGCTGTAGATAGAGCATTGTTGGATGCAAGAATGTTGCATAAGAGCCTCAAACAAATACAAAGAGAGTAAGAAATTTGTTACTTCTCCCCTTTAAAAGAATCGAGGTTTCTCTTTAGTAATTAAAAAAACTTTCTATAAACGAAAAGAAAAGAAGCCATTAAAGTATAGACTAGAAGAATCAAGTCTATATAACCATAAAAATTTGAGTTCGGGGCATCCACAAAAAGGGCATAAAGGATAATAGACATACCAAAAAAAAAACACTTGATCTAAAAACCTATAGTAAATTTAAGTCAAATACGGAGAAGAACTCATAACATTTTATACTCTAACGAGATAATCCCATAAAATATTTTACAAAAATATAAGGCCAATTTATAGGGATTTGTTATACACCAATTATGAAATTGATTTTGTATAAAATCCGAGTACCAATCATGAACGGACAACCATTACCTTTATTAATGCAACGAACATCCTTTTTTGCAATTCCACCTTTCTCCTTTATCGAATGATGCCTAAAATGCATAATGCAATTTTAGTTTATATGTATATCCTGTTTGTCTACTATCTAATGCAATTCTTTATGGTGAATCTATTGGATATCAATAGAAATAAAGAAAAAACAGAGCAATAAAATGACAAAAAAAAAAGTAGTAAACCCCTCTCCCCTCCAAAACAAAAAACAAAAAGAAAGAAAGAAAGAAAGAAAGAAAAACAAATTTAGAATAAAGAAGGTGGTTTTGGAGAAACTCATCCATCAATGATGAGATAACTCATTCTTTTAAGGAAACAAATAGCAAAATACAAATATCATATATTTTTATGCTATTAGTGTATTAAGAATTTGAAGCCACAAACACAGATCGAAAGAAAAAAAAACAACTAAGTATCTAAGTAGTGCACCAACAAGGTTAATCAAGAAAATAAATGGCTAAACTTTCGGACGATTTTTTCGAGCCTTTGCACACAAACAACTCCTACAATCATGAGAGTAATGAGCAAAAGCTTCAAACAATGCTCTATCTACCGAGTCTAAGTCATAAATATTAAATCATGCTCAATAACAAAGTTGATAAGAACATACATGTCTCCGTGTATGTGTGGAAATTCCTAGCAACAAATTCTTTTCGAGCGATTTTATACATGACGAGTTAATAATAAATATTTTAGAGTTAGATTCAAAACAATAAGATGAGAGCATCGATTTGCTAGTCTAAAATCTGCAAGAAAAATACATCTTAACACACTTTGAAAGATTGCATAACTACTCCATAAGAAAAATCCGAAAACAAAATTGCAAATAGAAATATTGTTTTAAAAGTGACATTTTAATACTTTTTTTCCTTCAAGTTCTAAACAACCAATGAGATTTAAATAAATAAATTATCATATTTGATTCTAAGATCAAATAAGCTTGAATCGGTATATTGTTAGTCCTCTAAAAAAAAAAAAAACTATGCTATCAAATGAAGTCATGCTCATGATATGTGTGGCATCACTATCACCCCTAATAAAATAAAGACAATAAGATCTAATATTCATGCCGTTCTTTAATAAAAATAAACATGTCTAAGATATTTTTTTAATGCATAAACAACATCAAAAGGTGAGTGAAAAAAGCAAACCTAAAAAGAAATCAAACATATTTCTTCACTTTCCTCTACTCCCTCTTCAACGCTCCACCTAGTAATAAAAAAAATACGAAAAAAATGATTAAATCAAGAAATAGAAACAATCTATGAAATTTAAAAATAAAGCAACCAATATATATCAAACAAATGAAAGTTCTTTAAACACAATAAAAACTAAAAAATAAATTA